TTGACAAAGAAAACCTTTTCGTTGGAGAATTCGAGGAAAATTCAATAAAATGATATGGCCGAATATAATAGTTGTTTGACCCTGTTTTCGTAACTTGGTCATATTGGCAGGAAGGCTTAGAGCAACTCACCTTGCCCGAAGTCCATAGCATGCATGATAATCTCCAGAATCTGACCGTGGGCAAACGTATCGCCGGCCTCATAGTCGGCATCGTCAATGAGACTTGATATTCTCAGCACTAACCTACAACTCGCCAATCCCTTGACCAACTTTTTGCTGAAACGGATGTGCAATCACTCCTCTTCGAAACGCAGTTTTTCTTCATATCACTCCACTTCTTGTCATGGCCCATCTATCTATTTCCTACCCTCTTGTCTTGAACTCGTTCAATCGTAACTTCTGACTTGCTGCCAGTTCACGCCTCAGGATGTGTGCTAAGGTTGCGAAAACAACGTCAAACAACTACCATACATCGAAACGAGATTGCGACCCAAATAATGGTAACAACATCTTAATGTTCGTATCTAGGATGAGTAAGGTCCAAATGAGAGGGCCAAAAAATATCAAAAAAATAATTCATTCAGCGAACGATGATAGAAAAAAGTGTCAACTATTTTTGATAAATCTGAGAGATCCATTTGATGCTAGCGTAAGTGCAAGAATACCAGACTTGAATGCTAGTTGAGCTGATGGCTGGCAAGTTTGGTGCAAACATTTTGTCACGATTTTTGTACATATATTGGCTGTGAAGGGTAGATATATTGTTAAAATAGCTAAATAAATCAATTTATTATAAAGGCTTTCCAGATATCAATCAGTAAAAGGAAAGGCAGATCTAGTCTTGGGAGCTATTCACGCAGGCGCATGTGCTTCACCGCATAGTTCTGCCTTGACTTGGAAAGATTTCACAAGCAGCCGAAAAGTGAAGCTTGTAAAAAGCAACCGTTATTTGAAAAAAGTAGACACAAAAGATATGCCGGCCAAGTGAGCCGTCTCAGGCAAAAAGTCCCTTCCAGGCAGTTGAGAACAAGAGCAGTTTCCTTGTGCTCCGATCGCTCAACCTCGAAGGGAGTACAACTCGGCGTGCTCAAACGCCCAGCTGATCCACACTTTCAGCATTGGGGATGGTCTGTTAGCAACGGACGGATAAATGGTGGTAGCCAGTGAAGTCGGAGCATCAACGCGATCTGAGTTGGAATGTGGTCGGCAAGGAAGCTGGACAAAAGAAGGAAATGACCGGTTGAAACGAGGATTGGCAAAAACATGAGAATGACGCAACGCGAGCACCAAAAGCCAGTTGTTATTCATCGTGTGCACAGATCTGGGCTCGAATCCCGAGGTGGCGCTTCTCTTTATTGTGTAGCATCGGTAACGGGTTTATTTCCTTCCTTTCTTCTGAGGCTTAAAATGACCGTAACTGGATCGAGAAAAAGGACGGCGTCAAAATGGGCGTCAAGGTGTCCCCATGGAGAGTGGACAAGCTCTCTCAGACAGAGCCCACCTGCACAGACCAGTCGAAGAAGCGCATGGTTTACCGAGTCGGAGGATTTTGTAATGCCGTTGAAGGCGTGCTGGGAGAGGGCACTCTGTCCTCATTGGCTGAAATAAGACTTTTATCTCCCAACATGACTGAAGCCGATGAACGAGTGATCGGCAATTCGATCACGATCAGATAAGCAGGATTAGCCTCACTTTCAACGGGACTTTTCATCCAGGCTTGACTGGACCACGCTCGCGACCTCTTCTGGCTCACATCAGCCCGCCCGGAGGGACTCGAACCCGGGGAGTGCAGAATGTAATCATGACATGGTACCACTACGACACACTGTCACGAGTGCCACAAGTGAAGTTGACCTCTATCAAATCACATTTCCTTAGTGGGATAGCCGCTAAGGTCAGCATTTATATGACAACACAGTCGACGATGCTACTTGTACTCGAATTGAGTAGCAGGTCGAGACTATGAGTGGACGTTGAATAAGAGCAGAGTGACAGCATGGCAGTGTGGTGTTGTGGTACCGTGCAGAGACTGTAAACGGCACTACCACAACCCGGGGCTAATTCGCGATGATGATGCTGGGGTCGCCAGACGAGATAGAAACTGCAGTCCGGTTGGGATGGGAATTCCTTGTGGACGGTAGGCGAAGTAAAATGAAGCTGCATCCGGACATTTGCTGATTGAATTATGGGAAAATTGACCAACAGTCCTCCGACACATTAAGCGGCCTGAAGCGGCTAACGCTCATATTCCAAATCCCCTGACAGCCTCAAAATCATACTCAAGTTGGATACTAATTTTTTGCGTCCAGGGCCCGTCTCCAGTTCTGCATTGCAGCCATAGTGGGCTGGTCCGTGGAGTAAATACGTTGAACCGACGAGTGGATCCAGTTCAAGCGTGCGTTGAAGGTGTTCCGCGGGAGTTTAACCAACGATCTGCTGGTCTCTGTTGACAATGAAACGCGTTTACGGCAGTGGCTGTTAGCGGCGGCTCCCGTTCGAAGAGCGTAACAGGTTCTGAACTGTTCCGAACTTCGTAAATGACATTTGAGTACTTCCTTAACTCCTCTCGAGTACCTGGACCTCATCTTGGGCCGGAAATCGGTCCTGATCGGAGGAGATTGCGCTTCCGATCCAGTTCGCAGCAAGCCTTGCTTCGGCCTCTCTGGGCGGCTGTGTCGAGATTTCGCGATTCGAGCTTGGACCTGCTCAAACTTTCGCTCTTTTTGGGCAGCGGGTGGAGGCCACGTCGAGGCGTGAAACAATGCATTTGTTTAGGACTCGATGGTCAATTGGCAATTTCTGCTTAGCCTCTGCTCTCGCTTTCTAACTTTCGGCTTCTGCACTCGAACCTCAATTTGGAACGACGCGAAATCGAACAGTTTCGTAAAACCCCGAGTTTTATTTAGGCCTTATTTACAGAATCACGAGGTTGCAAACGATCATTCACAAATAGATCTCGTGCTTCTATGCATCCAACTTCTCTTTGCAATTGCTATTGCCCAACCCGGTAACTTTTTCCTGTGAGCACATGCTCAACTGTTGCATTCCTTTTGTTCGTCTCAATTCCTCCGTGTCTGATACCCTTTTCTGAGGATGCTTGCATTCCAGCATTCAAGCTCACTAAAAAAGCCTGTGCCACAATCTCGTGGGCTCTCCACACCCATTTTGCATTCTCTGTCAATTATTTCTAATATCCCGCAATTGCAGACCATCAGCACTTGTTAATAATTATTAGACCAGACAAACATTGAAATATTCCAAGTCTCTGGCGCTATCAAGAAGACTTTTATTTTGCATAAAAGTGCACGATTACGATTTTCTTAGCTCCATCTCACCTGAAGACGCCGGCTGACTCTCGTCGTACTGCGGCCGTTTTGCTTTAATACGACCTCCAGTTTGACCCAGTCCGCGAGACATGTTCCCTCATTTCGAGCGAAAAGTGGCTGAGTTTTTGCTTGTCATTTGACCGACTGTTCACAGCTGGGATTCATTCTTGCAAAACTCCCATGTTAACACTAAGTATGAACCTTCTCGCCTGGCATGTGATGGGAAAGAGTGCTCTTTTGCATGCAACTGTAAAAGTAACACCCTTATCATGTAAACTTAGTCGTTCGGCCAGCTCAAGCAATACAGATTTGTCCGCGACTGAGATTAACGTCTTCTGCTGGACCAGCTGCTCGCAAACTCTCAGAATGGCAGAAGACTGGACTCATCCGAGCTAGAACCGTTGGAAAAGGGTATTTTGAAGGCAAAATGAATGGCAAATGTCTTCTAAAATGCTGAAATTGGCATCTGAAAAGCATTTTTGTCTTTTCGCTATCACAACACTTTTGATGCATTGCATAGAAGCGCAAGTTTAGTCTTATTTTTGCAACTCGGTCATGGCACTGGGGAGGCCTCAGAGAACACACACAGTCCTCAGTTGGAATAAGTATGAAAGTTGCCAGAATTGCACCCTTAATTTGGTACATCACAGACATAATGGCTGCATCTTAGTCGGCATCTTCAGCCTTAAGTATTGGCTGCTTTGTTCCGCTTTAATCAGCACATCTTCTGACCATCCTGCCATCGTAATTTGATCTCAGATGAGAATATAATAACTCAAGTTTCTGTTGCCAGAAAATATACAGTCTGTTATGGCAGAGGACATAAATTTGGGTGCGTGCTTCGAGGTCGCTCCAGCGCCACTATCAAGGCCATACCATCTTGGTTTTTATGTCTACCATATTAAGGACCGTCGCATTAGCAGCAGTGCCAAAACTAAATTTGACGAGTCTGAAAAAAAAGGTTTTATAAAAGGGTTTGTTATGAGTTAAATGACACCATTTGTGGGGCTTGGTGAAGTGAGCATACAAAGGAAGTCTGCGGATTCGAATAGGCTAAGCGAATTTGCATAAACCACTTTCCATGGAGAGATGTAGCCGGAAGTACAGAGTCGAACCTTACGAAGCAATCATAGCATCACGTCTCCGACCCACTCAAGCTACGGCATAGCAACCACTTTGGAACAGGCTTTTTCGCCAAATCATCCAACCCCTTTTCATTAGGCCCCTTGTCCTCATACTTTCCATTTGGAATGGGCTAAATTCGGAGAAGTAGGGATATATTTGGCCAGTACACAAAGAAGATCCGAAGGACGAACCAATCGTAATGCTGGAACATCTTGTTTTTGCCATCTTTACTCCATTTTATCTGGATGGCCTGGTTGATAATGAAAGCCCTAACTCAACAGATATGTGTACACTAAACCCAATTATGTTGTTCTTTTTTCTAATTATTTTTAAAAATGCACATGTTCAGGCAAAGTAGAGTTAATTAAATGAATTATGATATGGAGTATGCATTTAGCTGACTTGAATTGTCCAGATAATTGTAGTCAGGAATAACGATTTACTGAGATT